CATGTAGCAGAGGTGCTACGAGAGTCTGCAAGGGCCAAGGACAGCTGGGGCATTTCTGGAGGGGCACTGTCATCAGCTGATAACTCTGTACTCCTCAAGAGAACAGACGCACACCATGGCCCAGAGCAGCGGAGGGCCACATGTGGCCCATTGGGGGCCTGTGTGGGGCCCACGAGACGTTTTGCTCACCGTTGCCCATGTGCAGGGTTGCCAGATTCCCTCTGGTTTCTGTCTGCGTCGGTTTTGCCCTACCTGTGTGTGACGCAGTTAGTGCGGGTACCTTGCTGGTTGCTAGGCTTGGGCTGTGGGGGACCCCCACTGGCTGCTGCCTGTACCACGGCCCAGCAGAGTAGCTGATGGGACAGGGAGGTCACCTGTTCTACCAGTTACCCCCCCAGGGAGAGGAACAAAGGAAGGTGGGATGCCGCCCCTGGCTGGGGGCAGGGCTGGAAGGGACGGGCTTTAGTTTCTGTCTGGGAAGCAGGGGAGAAGGAGCTAAGGAGGGGGCTGGGATTGTAGGGCCCAGCCACCCCCCATTTCAAGGGGGGCACTGAGGCCTCCTAGCCCCAGTTCCTGTAACCAGATGACATCTGTGCTGTGCTGTATCCTGGAGAAGCAATAAACTCCCTCTATTCTACTGGCTGGGTGAGTCTGTTTGTGCCACTATGGGGGTGCAGGAGACGGGAAAACCCCAACGCGCCGTCACACTGTGTTCCTAAAGCGACGCGCACGTACAGCCAGGACCGCGACACGAGGTACGTGCCAACTGCACACGCCAACTGCACACGCCAACCACGCGCTCCCTCTGCTCCAATCCCAGCGCGGCCACGGTTCTGTCGGCACCTCCCGCAGATTCAAGGTGAACCAAACTGCCCTACCCCAGAAGACCATCTTGGTTACAACAATCTTGCAGTCCCCTGAGATGGAGGGCATCACGCGGCCCCCTCACTCGCCCGGCGCTGGCCTAGAGCCCCCCAGGCGGTGAGGAACCTGTGCCTACCTGCTTCAGGAGGGAGCCAGGCAATGGCTCCCCACACGGACAGCCTCCACGTTGCTAAGGCGATGTCTGCCCTTAAAACGGGCAGAGCTACCGCGCGGCGGCTGCGTTGCTGTAGACCTGCCCCAAGGCCGTCGTGAGTGGAAAGATTCTTCCCTCAGCCCTTGTCTGCTCTGGGGGCCAGGTTGTCTTTGCTACATCTTTTGGGGGGGGGGGGATTTTTCACGTTCCAAGAGCCGCATCTGGGCCAATGTAACTTTTCAGTGTAAACTAGCCCCCAGCCATACCTTGGTCTTCTCTAGGAGCCGGAGGACCAAGGACTCTATGGCTGAAATCCTAGCCCTATTGAAATCAGAAGTCCCACAAGACTAGGATTTCACCCTCGGAGGGCTGCTTAACCCCACAGGATGGTTGCTGGGAAGGGGAAAGGCAGGACAGGGTCCAGCAGGGGAGCATCTTCCCCCTCAGTAGGAGGGAAACCAGGCCAGGTTTTGAACCCAAAGGTCTTTGACAATTTCCCATCAGGCCATGAGCCTTCCCCAGGGGACAACTGCGCTGCTTCTCCCTGATCTGCTTGGGGAGCTCTCATATGGGTGCGCTGGTGAAACCCGGCAACACCCCGGGACGCCACAAATGTAAGGGGCCAGAAACATTACTGGTGCAAGTCCCCGGAAAGCAACCGTCAGCCCAGGGCTGGAGAGGCCCTGACGCTCTCTAGAAATGTCCCTACTGAAATCAAGCGTTCAGGACAAGTAGCCGAGGCCAAACCCGGGACTGTCCCATGCGCTCCCATGAGGTTTCCGCAGCATCTGAGCCTTTTCTCAGCATCCCCCGCCAATAGGCCTGAGTCCAACTTTGCAAGAGTGACTCCTGATCTTGCCTTTCCATTTTCGGGGGGCCCAGATCAGGAGGCAGCACCATCCCACGAACACTCGACTTGCTCAATATCAGCCTCGTTGCCACGTTTTGGCGGTAGCTTGCTACGAATGACGCAATAATGAGCTGTTCTCCGTCTTCCCCAGCTGCCCCGTGTGATTGGCCCCCTAGGTCACATGCTCTCTGGATGACTGAAATGTACAATAAACTGAGGCACCCGTGGCACAAACCTCCGCGTGGGCTCGTGTTCACGAGACTGTCACTTGCCAGGAAGGTGCTTGGGAACTATTTACGGGGTGGCCACACGGCGCTTTGTCCCCCTCTAGTGGTGGCAGGGCCACACAGCGGTCGATGAGCCGGCTACGGCTTTGGCAGGGCCCTTCGGCTCAGGCAATACAGAGGCTCATGCATTGAGATCCCAAGGTCCCCGGTTCAATCCCGACGGCCGACAACTCGCCCAGTGCCCCTCTGTGGCGGCACGTCGGGGTTCCCATCTCCTGCACCCCCGTGGGGCACGGACAGACTCCGCCAGCCAGTGGAGGTGAGGGAGTGTGTTGCTGCTCCCAGATACAGCACAGATGTCATCTGGTTACAGGAACTGGGGCCAGGAGGCCACAGCCCCCGCCCCCCTTGAGACGGGGGTGGCTGGGCCCTACAATCCCAGCCCCCTCCCCTGCTTCCCAGACAGAAACTGACTCTCTCCCAGCCCTGCCCCCAGACGGGGGTTGGTCTCCGCCTTCCTCCCTTTGTCTCTCCCTGGGAGGCGCCTGTTGGACAGGCTGGGAGCCCCTTGCCTAGTGACTCATCCGCTGTCCTGCTGGGCCGTGCTACAAACAGTGGAGGTCACCCACTGCCCAAGCCCAGCAACCAGCAAGGCCCCCCCCATACCACACTGGGTTATGGAGCAGACAGCTCCCCCCACTACGTCACACCCTCTGTCACGAGATGAAGTGAATTTCCAGGTCTCAGCCACGCACACGTGCACGGATACACGAGTGCAGCCTCTGCTGTGCTCTAGGCACCCATCCTCTGTTGCCGTGGAGACGGTTGCCGTGGTACAGCGGAGATGCTCAGGTGAGGCAGTTTGAGCTAGTGGTCAGAGAATGGGAGTCCAGGAACCTTCCGTTCTGCCCTGGACCCTTGGGCAAGTCACTGCCCACATTCCCCATCTGTAGCAGGGGCTATGCTCAGACCCACCTCAGCCCGGATGTGAATGTTGAACCGGTAAGTCTCCCACTTAGCAGGTGAGGCTCGCCGGTTGCAGTTAACGGGGGAGCCTGTCGCGGGCAGGGGATGCTCTACGCCTCCTGGGGGCAGGTGGATTCTGCTGTGGAATCCGCCGGGGGACGCACCAGCCATTTCAAACCAGGCTGGATAAGGCATGCGTGGTACTCCAGGGAGTGAGCCGGACTGATGGGCCAGGGGAAATCAGACCAGCTCTAATTCCTCCCACATGGGATGCTAGTCACTGTGCAGGGGGGGAGAGGAATAGGGTGCTGTGACTTTACAACACAGCCCAAGGAAACCTTCCCCGTGGCCGGGCACAGCACGTGCCGCATTTCAGCAGCTCTTCGCATCTGCGGGACTTAATACGCCAGCAGATGACATCAGCAGCCCAGATAAGGCGCCTGCAAACCCACTAAGCCCTTTTCCGCGTGTCAGACTCAAGCGATGTCTAGGAGAGGGGGGCCGGCTCTGCGAGGGCCCATCCAGCTAGGGAAACGAAGGGTCTTTAGCAAACCTCTCCGCAAGCGCAGGGCCGTTAGCACCCTTTAAACACAGCCTGGCGCGGGGACCGCTAAAGACAATGGGGTCTCTGACCAGCGTGGGTCCCCTCGGGGGCTTTGCCAGCCCTCTAACCCTGCAACAGCTTATGCCAGGAGGAGCGTGTCTCCCGGCCCAGTGTCAGCCCCTCCCTGCACGTTTGCCGCTGTGTCCTCCAAAGCCCCCTTTGTTGGCATCACTGCACCTACACTGGGGCTGGGGGGGTTGCTGACTATCACAGCGACGGGGTGGGGGGGCTGTACCTCTGCCAAGGAAACTGTGCAGCATGGATCTGCCCCCCCGACACAGTGACTCTGGCAGGCATCGAAGGGCAGACCTGGCCAGGGAGCTGCTCCCGGTGGGGGGTGGCAAACACGAACCCCCCACGGGGCCGTACAGCTGGAAAGAGGAGAATTCTACACAGGCAGCGCATCGCCCTCCCCGCACCGCGGCCAGGCCACTGCGGCCCCTAGTCATCTCCCGTGGCTCAGGGTCCCGGGACACGTGGCCCGTCGCCGGGTTGTGCGGGGTTGCAGCAGGCTGGCCACTCGGGGCTCGCGCTGGTGGGGACACGGTCTCGGTGAAAAGGGGAAGCCCGTGTGTAGATGTGGCCGCTAGCGGGCGCTGGCCGGCCACGAGGCAGGTAATGCGGCAGGACTGCCACAGGCCCCATCTACTCTGGGCTTTCAAAACAGGCCAGCCCCCCTCTCTCCCACAGCTCTTTTACTCCCCCCTTTGGCGCTCTGCCAGGCCAAGTACTGGGGAACTGCTGGCATCTTGTCACTGCTGGCCGGGCGGACATGGCCGCTGTGACATCGTCTGCCCCGCCCCTGCCCCTCTGCCAGACCCCGGGGGCCTGGGAAGCTGAGACGGCGCCTCCCCCCCGGGGCCAGCAGATCCCTGCTTGAGTGGGACACTCACCCCCAAATCCCACCCCACGGGCTCCGGCCTCCCTGCGAGGCTGGCACCGGTTTCTGTGTGCCGATTGTCACACAACAGCCGGACAACAAGCGGGGCTTCGAGAGAGCTCCCAGAGCCCCCCCCTCCCCCCAGCAGGGCTGTCTACAGAACACACCAGGAGGGGCTGGGCAGCTTGTTCAGGCACCAGCACCATGCGCACTCCCTGCCCCCCGCTGAGCACCCTGAAACCCAGCCTGGATGCAAGTGCCGCGCTGCCTGTCACCCACAGGTAACCCTCGCCCCCCCCCCCGCAGCAAACCCTGCGCCCCAGCTCCCAAGGGAAGGCCCGGACTCTCCAAGGTATTTAGGCACCGGCCTTCCATCAATTTCAATGGGAGTTAGGAGCCTAAACACCAGTCAGGGTCTAAACCAAAACCTATCACCGTGCAAGCTGGCAGGGGATTTGGGGCAAGACGAATGTAACGAAACAGCCGGCCTGGGGCCTGGCTAGGGCGAGGAGGCACCAGAGCAGCCTTGGCAAAGTGCCAGGGCATCTTTCTGGCCACAAGGGGTTGGGTCCTCTCTCCTCTCCTCTCCTCCCTCCCCTCGCACCCCAACAATGCCACCTCCAGCAGCACAGAGACCCTGTAAATTCCCCGGGGCCGGGGCCGGGGCCGGCTCGGGGAAAGTTCCTCTGCGGAGCTGCGAAGGCCACTCCCCGGGCCTGAACAACAGGGCAATCCTGCTTTGAGTCTACTTCTTGGCTTATTCATTTACCACGGTGGATTGTTTCCTGGGCGCTGCCAAGGTGCTCGCTGCTGTAAAAACCACCCTGCCCGGCCTCTTGGCGCTCGCGGGCGAACGGGACTCACAGCGGGTGACAGAACACGCACTAGGCCCTTAAGCCCCAGTCAAGTCTTGAACTCTACCCACAAGAACAGACAGGAACTGATCCTGGCGGAGCGGTTCCTTGGCTTTGCAGAGGGCGCTGACTTGCCCGGCGTGGCGCTGGGCCCTGGCAGTACATGCTGGGATTTCTGGCACACACAAAGGATTTCCTCTGAGCACATCTGAGATGAAACAGACCCCTTGGATTCTTTACTCTCTTCCCAGCCCCCCTCCATGCCCAGAGATAAGGCATAGCAGAGGAACCTCGTCACCACCACAATCTCCTAGGCTAGGTCTACACTGGGGACCAAGTTGAGCTAAAGTAATCAACTCGTGAATAGCGTAGCTAGAGTCAGGGTATCTTAATTCGACTTACCGGGGCGCCCCACTGCAGAGGGCTGATGGGAGAAACTCACCCATCGACTCACCTTCCTCGGACATGGTAGAGTACCAGAGTCAGCGGGAGCGGGAGCGGTGGTCAATTGAGCAGGTCCTTACTAGACCCGCTAAATCAACCCCGGGAGATCAATCTCTGCAGCCTAAGTGGAGACAGGGCCTGACCACTTAATCAACCAAGATCCACCTGACACTCCGAGTCTTCACTTTGCAATAAGCTATGCGAATGCCCATCAACTGTGTCCTGACTACGCCGGTGTTCCCTGACCTACCCGCTCAGAGTCAACGGTGGAACCCTAGAGCTCTTTGCTTTACTCTCCTATGGAGTTTGGCTGGTGCAGAATCACCACGTTTCTCTCCATTGTCTCCAAACAGTGCAACAGCCCTTCTCCTCCTTCTGGCTTAACAAATGCGCTTCCCTCCTGCCACATGGGCAGCCACCTCTGGGGTGGGACATGGGAGCTTTCCAACACCCGGACCAGGAAGCGAAGAAAAAACCGAAACGTCCGGGGGCCAGATGGAATATGTGAACACCCCCAGCTGGGGGTAGGTAATGCCTTTGAGTACAGGGTTATTTGTCCCACGGGGCCTTACAGGAGAGTGCCAGCCACTCGGGTCAACGCTACCCTCGGCTTTGGCTTGAAGGGCTCCCGTCCAAGCACAGCCAGGCCATGGAGCCGGCATGCCTCCCTCGAGGGTTGTCCCTGGGCAATAGGTCCCTTCATGCCCCCTCTGCCACCCTGGCCAGGGAGATCGTTGCCAGCTGATTCCTAAATGGGTCTGTACCGTCCGTTCCCGCTCTGCCTTTCGGATCATTCCCACGCAGGCGGGGATGGTGGGAAGCCCCTACATCTCTCAGTGAAGCCTCTTTCCTGGCCCCGCGGCGGCTCTGAAATGCAGCCTGCGGCGCGAGCGGCAGGGGGGCAGATGCCTTTGTGGCCAGCTCGGGATGACACAGCAGGTGGATTCCTGCCCCTTGCGAAATCCCTCGAGGAACGTCCTTAGCACAGAGGCCACCAGGCGGAGAGTTCTTGTCTTTTACCGCAGCAGGCTGCCAGCGCGCCCCGGGCTGCAGAGCGGCTCAGCGCGTCGAGCAGGAGTCGTGTGGATGTGGGGGCAAGCAGAAGCCAACAGAGCTAGCAAGTGCCAGGGAAGGGCGACAGCCGCGCTTCCTGGCCCGGCCCCAGCTGTTACATTCCAGCCATGCCTGCGGCTCCTCGGGGATCTCTCCTCCTGCTCCTGGCTCGGTGAACGGTCTCAGCCTGGCAGCCGACGCGGGTTCGGATTTCACTCTGTGCCCCCAGGGCCGGCTCCACGCCCCTTACGCCCCCGGGTGCCTGGCGGGAGGGAAGTTTGCTGCCTCCTCTCCCCCGCACTCCCCATCCAGACTGAGCTTCCTGCTGTGCACCACAAACAGCCCAGGCCCGGGGATGGCGGGGGGGTCGCCCAGGCGGGAGGGAGAGCAAAACTCAGCCCGAGATCGTGACGGCTCCGGGAGAAGCCGCTTCAGAGGGAACAGCCAGAAGCCGACGCTGGAGCACGCCGCCCCCTCGGTTGGCACCGGCCCGGCCTAAAGGGCGCCCTGCTGCTGGCACCTTTCAAATGCAGCAAACTGGGGGTGGGGCAGTGTCCTGCCTGCTGGCTGGGACATCATGCAAGCATGTGTCTCTGCAGGTCCCCCCGTCGCAGGGGGACTGCAGGCCAAGCGCCTGGCACCGAGGAGCAGCTGATTTCACTGGCCTCTTCCCCCCCACCCCCGGGCATCCCACTTCGACCAGCAGGGAGGAGCGAGAGTCTCCCCATGCCAGCCAGGCCAGCCGCTCCCCCCAGACGCTGCTCTTATTCCCAGAGCGCCGAAGCCCCGAAAGATTCCTGTTCCTCGCCCCCCGCCCTGCCCGGGCACCTATCGGTGATGCCCAGCACGACGGCGCTGGAGTTGCCAGGCAGCCGACAGAGCCTGGGTCCTGCAAGGGCAGGCTCTGGATCCCAGCTGCTCCTGCCCCGCCCGCTGCTCAGCCTGACCCGAACTGGGTGGGGCAGGAAGGGTTGCCCCCGCTCCGCTTACCGGTACTGGGCTTGGAAGTGGTTCTGCACGAAGCTCTGGCTGCTGGGAGGCCGGGCGGCCGGCTGGGGGCTGCCGGAGTCACAGATCTCATCGGGGCCGGCTTGGGGCTGCAGAGAAACAGAGGGGGTTATGGAGACAAGGGGAGGGGCTGAAAGGCACCCGAGTCCCCATGGCACACCCTGCCCCCCTCCCCGCTGCCCCCGGCCATTCCTCTGATGTTCGGCTGCCTCTCCGCCCCGTCCCTGCCCTGCCCCTCCACAGCTCGGCACGCAGGGCGGGACCCCGATCCCCTTCGGACCAGGCTGAGGTGTGAGTCACACAAGCCCTTGGCCCGGCCCCGGGGCTAAGCGCCTGTGCCCCGTGGGGGTCGGACTAGAGGATCTAACATTCCTTCCGGGCCTGGTCTCTGGATTGGCACTGACAATGGGCCGGCTGCTTGTGAGCCACACAGCCTGCCTGCGGCTCTGGGGTGCACGCCCATCTGCCCTTGCAGGGAGAAAGCACGCGAGGGCCAGGAGATGGGACAGCGCAGCGGAGAGGGGAGGCGAGATCGGCATTTGGAGAGCAGCACCGCGTCTCTGGGACAGCAATGCAAAACACACACAGCGTCCACCCAAGTGAAACCCACCGGCTGCGGGGCACAGACCCGGCTCACCGCCCCCCCCCCCCACACACAGAGCAAAGGTACACAGGGACCAGCCCCTCACAACCCCCTGGGTGCCTGTTGGATGTGATGTCTGCTAGCAAGCAGCTGTCTGCTTTCACACACCCCTCCGGGGAGGGGAGAAAAAGAACTAGTGAGTTTGAGGAGTGTGCACGTGTGTACACAAGGGTTGCTGTGCGTGCGTTAGTGTGTGCGCATGAGAGCTGCTCTCCGTGCATTAGTGTGTTTGTGAGAACAAGGGTTGCTGTAGGTGCATGAGTGTGTATGTTTGTGCACAAGTGTGTGTTTATGTGTACCAGAACTGCTGTGTGTGCACACAGGGGTTGCTGTGTGTGCAGCAAGCACAAGTGGAAGACGGTGCCAGGTGGGCATTAAGCTGATGTAAGTGATTAGAAACTGAGCACGAACGCCAAACACCAGCTGGGGTGCAGGTCTCAAGGCAGATGGGACGCAGGGCTCAGTGACCAAGGACATGAGGCCTTGCATTTCCATGGTGCCTTTCGTATCCAGAGAGCTGAGTGTTTACAAACCCCAGTGAATTCTGCGCAGTGCCCCATAAATGTGTCCATTTTACAGAGGGGTAAACTGGGGCAAGAACGAGTCGCATGACGGACTTGTCACAGCTGTTGAGTCACTGGCGGATCTGGGAACAGAAGCCAGGAGCTCCAAGCCCCAGGTCCCTATCGGAGCCCCGACCCATGCTAGCTCCGTTAGGATGTCCTGAGAACAGTGAGCTGTAGGGCTGCCCTACAGGAACAGCAGCAGGAAGGGGGACATGAACCCATTCCTAACGATTTTCACCTTGCACCTCAACACAGCCTGCCCCTCTCGGGTGGGGGTAATTCCTTGGAGCCCTCGCGCCGAGACCATGGTGCAATTCAATGAACGGCCCCAGCGTGCTCGCAAGAGTTCGACTGCGTCCCCTGCACGTTTCGAAAAGACAAAGGGGGCGGGGTAGTGCCTCCAACCAGGGGAAGAGCCAGTTTCCATATCACCCTGCGAGGGGGCAGCTGGCAAAGCCGCTGGAATTAGGGGCAGCACCTGCCCCGGCTGCGGCTGGGAGAAAAGAAAGGAGGAAGAAAAGGGACATCGGGTGGCCGAGTTAACCCTCCCTGAGCACCGGCTCCTGGCTCTGTCGCTGCAGCAGGAAGTGCAGGGAACTGATTGCAGCCTGGAGGCTCTACAGGGC